TCCCTAGTTGTGCTCTTGGCAGGATCTATACTTCTGTTGCATGTATTTGCTAGTAATAAGATCTGTTGAAGAGTGTACTTATCTATATCCTTTTCAAATTTCTGTGCAGCAAGGATCCAGGTTATATCAAGATGAATGCTCTTGATCCTCAAAATATGAAAGACAACGTGCGTTGTTTTTCCTTATAAAGCCTAACTGATTTTTGTTTGATTTGTCTTAGTTTTCCTGAAGTACTATTGCCGTTGATCCCTTATTTTTCCCCCCTTCAAATTGCTATATTGTATCTTTCTTTTAAATGATTGGTGTAGTTGCTCACCATATAGCATATGTATCATGTATGTTCTGCCAGGAACTCTTATTGAAGATTGAAATAAATAATCCTATTTTGCTAGCTGGAAATTGGTCTCAGCTTTGTGCAACATGCAAGGTGCTCACCCAATCTAGCTGATATTGCATATATGTTATTTTACAATTTGTTTATTCTAATTGTTTTTCCAATTTGTTTTATAACATCAGATCGTCAGGCCTCTTCGTGCAAAACACTGCTCCACTTGTGATCGCTGTGTTGAACAATTTGACCATCATTGCCCTTGGGTATCAAATTGTATTGGCAAGGTGCTTTGTTACTGACGGGTTAAATGTTTTTTCTTTTCTTTTTATATAACTATTTAAATGTTTCATTTGTTACATTACATGTTTATAATCATGTACTCTGATTATACAATCAAATTAAGGGATTTGAATGCTTTTATACATGACTTTGCTTTTTGAAAATATAGACAAATTTGGGTGATGTGTCATTGCTTGTTGGTTACAGTTATGTTTATAGGTCAATTTCCTGTGGAAAGAAAATAATATAGAATTATTTGATGAGTAGGTTTGGTAATCTGTTGATGAACTAAATGCGGATCTTTCCTTGCAGAGAAACAAATGGGATTTTTTTCTTTTCCTTGTTTTAGAAGTTTCAGCAATGTTGATTACTGGTGGAGTGGCTATTACAAGTATGTGGTTTAATCTGTTCTAAGTTCAAACTATATTCCAATGTTAGCAAACCTTTGCACCCTGAATGTCCTGCAAATGTGTTTCGTAATGTACAGGAATCGTAACAGATCCTCTGGCTCCTCCTCAATTTTTTCCATGGGTTAACCATGCTTGTACTCATCACATCGGTGCTATATCATTTTTGATGGTGGAATTTTTCCTTTTCTTTGGTGTGGCAGCTTTAACTGTTGTACAAGCTTCTCAGGTATGACTTTAGATTTTGTGATCTGAAGTTGTATTTGTTTTTTTCGGGTCACTTTTTTATAGTTGTGACCCAAGCCATAACAGAAAATTTTGTGTGCTTCACCAATGCACTTACCCTCTTGGCTACTTTGATGAACTGCTGAGTTTTTGCGGATAAATTTGTCGCCCTAAAACAGATTAGGGCTGGTGATTTCATAAGTGCAAGTTCCAGCTACATCATCATATATCTTAGTCTCTGTTGTAGGAGTTTATTAGTGATAACTTGCATTGTAACACTTGAGGTATTGTTTAAATTGATTTACTTTCTCCATGTTAACCATATGAATTTAACCACCACCACTTATTATTACTGAATGATAGTTACAATCAAGGAACCATTAGCCAATGATAAATCTCAACCATCTGCAGTTAAGGTCTAGCCTTCATGTGATATTTTTCTTGACAACTTTTTTTGGGACTTGATCCGGACTTCTGTCTTTACCCCGGATTTGCACAGTTGTTAATGGTGCTTATGGTAGCACCTGGAAGGGTGCTTATGGTTAATGTTTGCACATATAACCCATGCATGGAACATGAATGATTTCAGAAACTTGAAGTACCAGTTTTTGGTCGGATACTCATTTCTTTCTTTTCTTGCTACAGATAGCTCGCAATATAACAACAAATGAAATGGCGAATGTAATGCGTTATAGCTACCTCAGGGGTGCTACTGGTCGGTTTAGAAACCCGTATGATCACGGATGCCGTAAGAACTGCTCAGATTTCCTGATCAATGGCTACAGTGAAGATGTGCAGATTAGTGAGGAACCAGCACAATCTGAAGGTATTGGGATGGTACAGATGGGGAGGGATTTGAGCTTGGAAAATGGTGATACACAAATTCCGGCGAATGGAAACGACCATATTGCTATTAATGTGAACTCTAGTGATGCCAATGCACATCATCACGGACACAGCCACAGCCACAACCACAACCACATTAAGGGCCACGACAATGTTCATTCTTCTCAGTGCAACCATAGTAAGCCTAGCAGCAGTCCAAAAAATGAGAGTATGCCATTGGGGTTGGGAATTGGACTTGGACTTGGACTTGGACTTGGACGTAGCCGTTCATTGGCATCATGATATTCATATATTGCCCCGTACAAGTAACACTGACATGCATTGTATTATTAGTATACGTCCTTAAGAGCTCAGCATTTTTTTTATCGAGTGGCTGTTCCTTTAATTATTTGCTTATTAATTAATTTATTTTTGTCTGATTTCCATCGTTTTTAGTAAGTTTCATGCTGGAAAGAAGGAATCTGTAATCAATTGGGGGATTAAATAAATTCAAGGTTTTCCAAATGGCAGGCAATTGGTAGAAATAGAGATCGCATTCTCATCAATGAAAAAGAAAATCTCAATTTTCATCTTATTAAGTCGTTAAAATATAGATGGTCATTTATTTATTATTCTCTCCATTCTACTAAATGTATCTTTTCAAAGTCAAAAGTTTTAAATTTTGATCATGATTATTTTAAATAATTAAATTTTATAAAATATATATTTAAAAACTATTTGATTTAAGATTTTTTAAAAAATATATATTTTTTAATAATAAATTTTAAAAAATAACGAGTCATTGTTAAAAAAATTGGATAAAAGAAGTTAACAATAGATAAATTTAATAAGACAAAGAGAGTACTTAATTAAGCTTTTGCTGAATGACCTGAAACGTAAGTAACTTATACCAAAGAAAAGGCTAAAGAAATTTTTTTCAATATATTATAGGTGAAGTTTGAAATTTTCGTTGGATTTATATTGAACATGTTTCTTGGTGCAAAAGCTATCAGTATCCTTTATTAATGATCGAGATAGTGTTTTTTTATCTGAACCATAATGTTTGCAAATAGAGTAAATTGGATTGAATGAGTGAGAGGATTGTCCCAATAATAGTATTCTACAAAATTCGATTTGAATTTTAGTCGATCAATAGATTAATTGTCCCTTGTTCCCATAGGTTGGAAGCAGCTTCCGTAAGAAATCTCTGAATTATGAAATGCCCCCCATGAGACTCAATCCTACGACTTTAAGGTTAAGTACCTTGTGCTCTACCAACTGAGCTGGATGGCAAATGTTAGCTATTAATTCAAAAGAAAGTAAACAAAGTCATAAAATGTTGGTATCATGACATCAAATCATTAAAATTATTTTAAATTAAATTAATAATTAAATTTCTGTTTTAAATCAAAAATTATTATAAAATAATATTTTATAGTACAAAATAGATGAAAAAGGGTGTGATGATATGTTTCTTTAATTAAAATTCAATTCTAAATAAGATTAAAGTCCTTCAAATTTTGAAACATATACAAAAAAAATAGTGGTGAACAGTATGTATATCATTAGTGATATATATCAGTACATATTATTTATGATAGTCATAGACTTATATCTGAAGATTATATTTTTAATGATAATTTTATATTTTATAAATTAAATATACTCTTAAATAATAATTGTTTTAGGTATGCATAGTAATAGACACCCATCCAAATTTAACAAGTAAAATAAGACGGAAGACAATAATGGTGGGTACGTATATGATATGAGTTGAAATTCTAAAATAGAAATTGTTAATATATGGTAAAAAATAATATACACTGATTATAATTAAAAATTTTGTTAAAAGCGTAATATTTTAAGTTAGACTGAATAATTTTTTAAGTTAAATAGATTATAACAAAAAATCTACATTTTCGTAACATTTTCAATTATATATCTTAAATTCGAATAATATAATCTTTGGATGGTGAAAAAAATATTATAAATTTTATAATTTTTGAATTAAATACTAGAATTATCTTTAAACTGAGCCGTCATACAACGGAATTATATGAGTAGCTTGCAATAAAGAAAACAATAATTTTGTTTTGTGCCGCCCACCGAGCCAAAAACGGTCCAGCCAAATGATAAAAGCAGAAGACAAAGTGGACCCACAATTCTGTAATCTTATACATCACCACATGTCCCAATCGATCGAAGGATTGGCCACGTGTCAACCATCAGACGGCTTCAAAATCTCCACACTCCCACCTCACTTCTACTTGTTTCGTCCCCTGTTTTCTTGCTCTTTCAGTTTCACATAGGATGGCAAAAAAAAAAATAACCTCGTCGGAAAAAATTGAATTAAACAGATTGGGTTTGGGATGATAAACGAGGACGAAAACGGAGAAAATCGAATTTTTTGAAACGGGACAGATACGAGTTTAGTAATCTCCATCTCAATTATTTAAATATTCAGTTTGATATCCGATCCGATAAATATTAAAAATAATTATATATATATATAATATTAATAAATTTAATTTAAATTAAAAAAAAATATAAAGGAGATTAGGATTTAAGAGAATTCATCTTGACCAACTCGTCACTTTCATTACGGTTGCTCTCAAGTCTTGTTTCGCCGATCTTCACCTCCCCTGTTACGCTGTTGGTGACTTCACTTCGCCGGCCGATCTTCCTTTCCCTCGCCACTTCGCCGACCGATCTTCCCCTTCCCTAGTAAACGGTTATTTAAATAACCGTTTATGCTAAACGGGATATCCATTTCCTCATAATTTTCTCTAATTACCCGATGAGATCCCGTTTAAATTTTCGTGATTTTTTAAGTAAGATGATTACAGGTTTATTAAACGAAGACGGAGACGGAAACCAATCCCCGACTCGAAACCGTCTCGCACTTCTTCCTCTTCATTTCCACAAGTGATTTCCCCTTTTCCATCCCTGACTCTCTTCATTTGTTTATTGTATCTCTGTTTTTTAAGGTATTTCTCCTTCTACTAATCTCTCTGTTCAAATATGATCTTTATTTTATATAGGACGAACATAATTTTATGTAGGGACATACTTTTAAAAGTGAAAATATATTATCAATAAAAAAATTTAATTATATGAAAATTTGAAATTTTATGAGACAATTGTTTCTATTAGCCTCGCTCGGTCCATCGATGTTCGATGCTGTGATTTTAATTTCTTAGAATCTACCCCCGATCTTTGTTTGATTCCTTAGGAAAAAAGTGATAATCTAAGTTATTTTATTTTCTAAAAACACCGTGATTCAGTTATCCTTAACGATTTTTGTTTCTTGAGGAATCCTTTTTTTATTTATTAACGTATTACGCTGATCAACTTAATTTTTACATGCCGTTGTTGTTGATGATAGAGTGGACATGTAAATGTAGTGTAAAATGTAAAATCACTTTGTGATGATCGTTTCAATATATATATGAGGGGGAGAGGGAGGGGGAGCGAGTGGGGAGAGAGAGAAAGAGAGAGAGTTATTTTTTTATGGTTTAATGAGAGAAGTTTATGCGTTATCCTTTACATGAGGTTTTGAATGTTTCTTATTGGGGTTTTCAAGTTATGAATGTTGGCTGTTTTTGGCATGCAAGTTATGAATGTTGCTTTCATGTGCTATTGTTTGATTTTGATGAATCTATGATGGTTTGTGTTTTTACCTAACGGAATTTTTAGAAGCCAATGGAAGTTTTGGCATTCACGCTGCTTGGGACGAGTACTGCTATCCTTTAATTTATATATAATAAATGCTACGTTACCCTAGTGAGAGAATGATAGTTGATGACTTTTAGTTAACGTTTTGGTTTTGCATTTTAGTTCAGTTTTAAAAGCCGACTCTGTAATGCTGTTGTTTTTTGTCCAGATGTGTTGGAAGGTTAAGCAGTATTTAGACTTCAGAGTTCGGATCATGTTTGATGGTTCTAAAATGGGGAGTAAATTGGTTTTTCTTCTTCTTTCATGACAATTATTGATAATTTATTAGACTATTAGTCTAATGGGGGGAGTGTGTTCAAGGAAGAGAGACCAACAGGTCGTTGAAGATGGAATGAGAAGAGGAGTGTCTGGAAGGTATGGTAAAAGTGGTAGTTCAAAGTGGCTTCTAACCTCTTTTTTGCGACCCAAGGCAGTACATCAGCCTGGAGTGGTCATTTGTCCATCCCTCATGGAATTATGCATTGATAAAATATGCAAAGTATGTCTATCACATTTATATTTGGCATGAGAATTCTGGTTTTTTCTTTCTCCTCTCTCTTAAATTGTATACTTTTTCTATCACAGGACATCAACCAATTTAGTTCTTTTACAATGCTGCCAAAGGATATAAGTCAACAAATTTTCGACAAGTTGGTTTTATCCCATCTCCTTACTGATGTTATACTTCAAAAGTTTCGTGATTGTGCTCTAGAGGTAAATTTTCCCTGGCTGGTTTAAAAATGGACCACCTTTAAATTTTTTTATAAGAATTTCAGGTCTCGTTAAAAAAACCCCTTCTTGATTTATGGAGCTAGTAGGGCAGCTTCTTAATCAGCGGAAAGAAAAAAAGAGTGCCTTAGGATTTTATTGAACATAAGAAATTACATAAGATACAACCTGGTAAATACCCCTAACAGAAACAGATAAACAGGAAACAACTCTAAACCACCCATAAACAGCAACACTAGTTCAGCCAATACCTTCTTTAGCTAAGACATCAGCCTCTAAAATGGCTGTCCTATTAACCCATCAAACAACACCACCTAATGCAATAAAAACCAACATTTACAACCAAAAACTAAAATAAACGCCTCTGAATACAGCTATCGAGCAATTAAGATCCAATTGAAGGAACAAGTTATAATGAAATAAACGCCTCTGAATACAGCTATCGACCACCTTTAAATTCATTTTTTCCTTTAATTACTGTCTTCCTAGAGAATGGTATTTACCTGGTTTTCAACTTGTGTTGGCAGGATGTTTGGTTGGGTGAATATCCTGGAGTACAGGATTGTTGGATGGATGTCATCTCTTCGCAAGGGACATCATTACTTTCTGTTGATCTTTCTGGTTCTGATGTGACAGATACCGGCTTGGGTCTCCTAAAAGAGTGCTTGAGTCTCCAAGCCTTAACTTTTAACAATTGTGAAAATATTTCAGAAATTGGACTGAAGCATATTAGTGGTAATTTTCTATTTCTTTCTTTATATTGATGTTACCATAGGGCAGTTCCTGGCATTTTGTTATATTATACCTTGACATAGTACTTATAAGGAATTACAAATCTTCTGTAAGTAAATGTCAACTGTTTTTCTCTTTTCATTTAGTCTGTAGTGTTTCTATAAAAAAAATAGTCTTTAGTGGATCAGTTATACTGAAAAGTTGGGGGTACTTTCTTTTTTCAAGCTTTTGTTTTTGGTATTCCGTGCTGGTTCTTATTTAATAAATTCATATTTCTTGGGAAAAAAAGGAAAAGGCCTTAAGTAAAAAGATGGCATGTTTCGAAACCGTCAACTTTAAGAATGAAGTATCTATTAAATGTCTTAACATTAGAAGAACTTCTATAGAACTGTCAAGTGACCCTTGTTACAGATATGTTATTTCTATATAAGCTATATTATGACTGTCATAATCAAATTTTATATAGTGGTGCTTTCTGTGATTAGGATATCAATTATTTATTTCTTTGGATTGGTTTCTTATTTGACATTATTTCTGTGCCGGTCTTATGCATTATGTCCCTTGACTTTTTAGGTCTAACGAATTTGACATCCTTGAGCTTTAAAAAGAGTGCGGCAATTGCGGCTGAAGGGATGTGTGCTTTTTCCAACTTAATTAACTTGGAAAAGCTGGACCTGGAGAGGTGCACAGGGATTCATGGTGGATTTGTACATATTAAAGGTCTGTTTTGAATGAATCCTTATGAGACCTTAGAAAGCTTGGGTTCTATGGAACTGTAGAACTTTCACCTTCAAAAGGAACACTTTCATGTATATTTTAATTGATATTTTTACATTACGGAGAACAACCTGAGAAAATCGAAATACACCCATATGATTTATATTATATACTGGGAAGAATGAGGGATGGGCTGGCAGATAAACTAAACCAGTATCCAATCTCATGTTGCATTAAAATATGACCATTATGTACTATATGATGGAGAGTCAACTAGTTATATGAATTACAGAAGTTTTAGTTTGAGTTCCCATGTCAGCCAGTTATTGCAACATCTTTTCCAGAAATTATTTTCTCTGAAGCTGTCATTTTTATCCTTTTTTCAGGTTTACCTAAACTTGAGTCTCTTAATATCAGATGTTGTAAATGTATTACTGATTTGGACTTGGAGGCTATTTCGGGTAATTTTGGATACTTTTTCAAGCTAACTAAGAGTGGTACAATTTTCTTTTCACAACTGTGGGTCATGCTGACCTGAATGCTCATCATTGCATGCTGTTGGTTGTGTCGCTGTGTTCGCAATTATTATTTGTTAATTCTGTTTATAATCGTGTAAGATTTAGTATGTATGATTGGCAACTCCCCAACTTGCAGAAGAGCATTAGATTCTAGATTTTTTTTTTGGTTATGGCTTTATGTTTTCTTTTATTTCAGGGCTTAATAATCTGAAGGAGCTGCAGATATCAAATAGTAACATCACTAATTCTGGGCTGTCTTATTTGAGAGGTATTTACCTACCTTTCTTTTGCATGTGGACACACACTGTCCTCCATTGTGCTATATAAAAGGATAGGACTTCTCTTTGTTTATATTCATTGTTCTTGGTTTCAGTTCCTAATACATTGAATGTAACATGATTAATACATCTTACCTTTTAGGTCATAGTCTTCAGGGTCTCCTAGTGATGGCATCTTAATCTTCTTTCCCGTACTAATAATCTATTATCATTATAAGACCAGATGACCTAAAGAATTAAACATATTATGTTATGTACTAACATTACTTTCCATGGCAGGTTTGAACAAACTTAATATGTTGAATCTGGAGGGATGTAACGTTACTGCTGCATGCTTGGATTCCATCTCAGGTATGTTCTCATTACTTACCTCCACTGATAATATACAGTACATTTTGTAGCTGTTATACATTGAACATGGATGTGCCTTCAGATATAGTGACATGTATTTCATGGGGGAAACCAGTAGGTGGACGTAATGTCTTAGAGTTGTGAGATAGGTGGATAAGGATAAACTCTCTATCATTATGCATAGAAGATCAAACTTCATCATATCACAACAAACAATGAGTTGTTAACAAGTCCATGGAGTTTGAGCAATTACCGAATTTCCTGGAATTATAATAATTTCATGTGACATGCAATCATCTCCTAAGCTTCTTCCCTGTGAAGGGATTGGGATTGTAATGTTATTCAACTAGATACCAGAGAACATATCATGTTCGGTTAATACTAAAAATTATTTATTCTATGTGCAGCTCTTATTGCTTTGGCATACTCAAATCTTGGAAGATGTGGCCTAACAGATGATGGATGCGACAAGTTTTCTGGTGATTTGTGTTTGAATTCTTTTAATCCTTTGATTCTTGAACCATTGTGTAGAACTACTACATTGCTAAGTATAGTTGGAATGTTTACAGTATTTACTTCCATTTGCAGGACTTAAGAATTTGAAGGTATTGAACCTGGCGTTTAACAATATAACAGATGCATGCTTAGTGCACCTAAAAGGTTCTCTCTCTATCTCTTTCCCACTTGCCACTCTGTTGGGGTCCTTTTGTTCAACTTGTATTGTCAGCGGACCATTTGCATTCTTTCTCTTTTTTGCCTTGAGCAACCATTAGAGGTTGTGTGAGTTAATGAAATTTTCTAGGTTGTCCCATTGAAATGCACTGTGACTTTCCATAAAATATGGCGATTGAGACTTTTCTATTGTTAAAGTTGGTTGCTGTTGATCACCCAGCCCATTTTGGTAAAACTATATTATGAAACTGTAATGATGGTGTTTGAAAATTGTATCTTATGCTTTTGATTTTGAAAATCACTATGCCATTGACTTGAGATCCCTAGATAATAGTTAATAATAGTGGACCTTCATTTAAAGATAGTTCTTTGAAAGCTTCGTTGTTAAAGTTAAAAAAATCTGAAAATAAGTTCTAACTGATTTCTGGTTCATATTATGTATGTGGTTTTGGTGACTTTGAAGCGGTATTAAGTTTGTTGATCTGGTATATATTTTCTGTCCAGGATTAACAAATTTGGAGAGCCTGAATTTAGATTCATGTAAAGTTGGGGATGAAGGTCTTGCTCATTTGACAGGTTTACATATCATGTTTCATTTCACACTAGTTGAACCATTGGAGGATCTCCCTTTGCTTTGAAGATTTTCAAGATCGAGTTTTATATTTTGATTTTATTTTCAGGCGTGTCATTCCTCAAACGTCTAGAGTTGTCCGACACTGAAGTTGGAAGCAATGGGCTACGGCACCTCTCTGGTTAACAATCTCTCTCTTATCATCTTGCACCTCTGTGACATTACTGGTTCTGAATTCTTGATATTAGCCACTAATATCATTTGAGTTCAGTGATACATATTTAAACATATCTTCCCATTAGGTGTGCTCTGATAAGTAACATTGTTTGCAAGTTCCTTTAAGATGCTTTCTTAATTGTCCTGTCCTTTTTACTGAGTTAACTAGTTCCTAATGTCATGTATTGCATGTGATTTTACGTGTACCTTTTTAAAATTCATTAAATAATGTATTTTATTTCATGTAATTAATGGAAAGTAATATTATTCTGATTGTTGAACGTAATTGCAATATATTTAACTATTTTAATAATTAAAATATGACAACAATAAAATACATCAAAGCGTAACTAAATTTTGAATGAAAATAACTGTGAAATTCGTTTTTTTTTATCAAATTTTCTGGTTACTAATTGAATGAAAATGCCTAAATGTTGAATGCTAAACATCTATTTTATATGGTCAATTTTATATTATTAGAATATCTGTAAAAGTATAACTCCAAATTGAATAATTTAAATTATAGTGAAAGTGTAATCTAAATATGGATACAAAGTGTAACTTCTGCTTTAATATTCAAAATTTAATAATAAAAGTAAAAATTCTAAAGTCAATGTTATAATAAATAATAAAGGGTATTATTTTTTCAGTTGAAAAGTTTATCCAACAATGCATTTTCACGTGTGTGTTCTTTAACACACTTGAAATGGTTATTTTATCTGGATTTCTTTGAGGTGTATTGCTCTAGTACTATTGCCTTCTGCATATAATTTGAAGCATAAATGAAAATTTTTACCTACTTTCATTTCTTTAATCCATGCATTTGTTAATTTGTTTCTGGAAGTGCATTTGTGGCTTACCCGGTGACACTGAAAGCAGGTTGAATTTATATCAGTGGATAGAATTCTTTACAGATTTTGGGGCAATCATATCTTTGTAGTGTTTGCTTTGCGATGATACTAAAAATGACCTATTTTCTGAAATATTCAGTGCATTAGAATGTGAAATACATGACGCTGACTTGATTCTGCCTTTATTAGGTTTGACTCATCTGGAGACCTTGAATCTGTCATTCACTTTAGTGACTGATAGTGGTCTAAAGAAGTTGTCTGGATTGACGTCTCTTAAGTCACTTAATTTGGATGCTCGCCAAATTACAGATGCTGGGCTTTCAGCTTTGACAAGTTAGTATTTTCACTTTTCTTTTGTACTATTCTTATTAACTTTTTGTGTCTAAGTTCGTGGCATCCTTGTGTGCTCCTATTTATGACTTTTGGAACTGGATTTTGTATCTTTTGTTGAAGCAGAAGTCTTTTTGCTGGTTTTTATGTTGTAAATGGATGTTGAGTTTTTCTCCCCCTTGATTTTTATGTTTACTAGGATGTCTACCCCCTGTTTCTTACCTTGTACTATTACAAGATAGCCATGTTTGGAGTCATGAACTTTGCTGAGCTTTCACCAATGATCGTATCCATATATGTGAAAACATCTCCTCTTTAGATAAATAGATTTTAATAAATAATAGAAGTTCAAAGGTTTTTAAACAGATCCTTTGTTATAACTTGGAAAGAATAACCAGTGACTTAAAATTCCCATGGTTTCAATTTTTCTTTTTAGTTTAAAGATGGCATATTTCTTACACCATTTCATCTATGGCTCTGGTGTATAGTTGTGCTATTATATGGAAACCAATTCAGTAGTGTTATTCACCAGTTAGGATGTTGTATCTTTCTGTGATTCATTAAGAATGTCATACCAATTATTGCTGCACAAAGATGTCTTATTGAGTTGATATATTTTTCCAAAGCCAAGTCAAAGTGGCTCCAAATTGCTGATCTCAATCTCTTCATATTGCTCTCTTCCCATCGTGGAATGATTTAAGGATGCATATAAATCCTCACTTTTCATTTTTACTTTGCCGATGCAGGTTTGACTGGACTGGTGCATCTAGATCTCTTTGGGGCTAGAATTTCAGACGGTGGAACAAATTATTTACGATGTATGCCACAAGTATAGCCATGGCTTAAGTTGTATATACCAATGGAAAGTTGCATGATCATTGTTGCCGTTAACCTATTGTTTCCTAGATGTTCTTATTTTGCTTACTTGGAAAACTTGATTGTTCTGTTTTGCTCATTGGCTCATGAGGATTAAATATAATTTGGATATACATATATAATCGAGAGAGTTTACTGGTAACTAAGAAATATAAGTTCTGTTAGTTAATGTATTGAGGTGTCAGGTGTATATCTCCAATGGTATAGAGTTCTTATGATCTCTCAATTTCATTGTAGACTTTTCTAACAGTTCTAATGTGTTCAAATATTCTTACACCTGCCATTTACATGCTAAAACAGGCTTCAAGAACCTCCAATCGTTTAAAATATGCGGAGAGGGTTTAACTGATTCTGGTGTTAAAAATATCAAAGATCTCCGCTCCTTAACGCTACTGAACCTTTCACAAAACGGCAACCTGACAAACAAATCCTTGGAGTTGATTTCAGGTATTTTTTGCTTCTTCTTCTCTGGATTTTGTGGCGTTGTTTGGTGTTGTTCTTCTTCACCACGTTTCTAGAACAAACATATGGAAACCGATACGAGATGTGTGTATACAAAGGGAGTTGTGTCTCTATTATCTGATTATCTCATCTGCCAATAGTCCCACACTCACTCGGCATTCTGGAAGAGGATCAGTAATTTGTAGCATTTTCATTGCAGTCTAGCGCTTTACGACAAGCTGGCTTGTAAATAACTAAATATGCCTAAAGTATATAGGATGAATGGCAGGTCTGAAAATTGATTAGTTGAGAGCTGATACTGCTATTAGTGGCTACTCGAATATGAAAATATTCTAGTCGTTTGCTGTGTTCCCTGATGAAATCACTGAGCTCTTCTAATGATGGATCTTGCGTTTTGTTTTGAATGCAGAATTGGCTGCATTGGTGTCGTTAAATGTTTCGAACTCCAACATAACTAATGACGGTTTGCCTTATTTAAAGCCTCTGAAGAATTTACGATCACTATCTTTGGAGTCGTGCCAGGTAACAGCCGCTGAAATCAAGAAGCTTCAGTCAACTGCCCTCCCCAGCCTCGTCACCTTTCGACCGGAATAAAAGTCTGGGGAGGAAAACTGCAACGTATGCTGTAATTGTAGATAGCTGCGCTCGGATGGGGTTAGCTTTTCTCAACTACTAAGTAAGCGTGTGTTGAGACATGAAAAGCTGCTTTTGTAATACAAGAAAAACTAGAATCATCATCAACCTAATGCACAACTGTCTTCTAAAAGTTCTTAATAAAACTGCCAAGTTTGTAAACTCAAAAGAAACTTGGCGATTCAATCTGGCAAACATATTATAAATTACTGCAATTCAATAATGAATCCAGCATGTATTTTATACTTCTTTGAGGTTGGGGGAAACTGATGAAGGTCAGAGCAGAAACCAGCAGAAAAAAAACATGAGATTCCTGCTGCTGCTGCCTGCTTCAAGTCATACCCAAACATGTATTGATAACCAATTTCTTGAAGAAGAAGAAAAAGGGAATCACACAACTTTCAGGTTGATGTTTGATGTAGAAGACAATAGCAGAAAAAAAAACCCTGCACAAGGGATGATCCTATGTTATTCATGGAAATAATTGAATACAATTTTCTGAGAATTTGGTAAGTGAGGTGAATAAACATGCAATTGATAAAATACGTTTCATTTTGAGGCATAAATGATAACACTACAAATAAGATTTTTGTTTTAAAATGAAATGTAAAGGGTGAAAATGTTTAAAAAATGAATAAAGATTAAAGTGAGTATTTAGTTCATCTTTAAGAGTTTTTCACTTTAAAATAAAACATAGGGTCAAAATACTTGAAAAAGAAAAGAAATTAAAATGAATATCTAATTAAAGGCAGTTTTTGACATTATACTTTTAGAAAATATATTTAAAGTGAAAATTCCAAGTGCATGATTTGTATTGCCGCAGATTTTGTCATTCTTGTTTTTAAGAAAGAATCAACTTACCAAACTATAATGCAGTACTGCAAATCTCAGTTCAAATAATACGAAGTTAGATATGTCTTTTGACCAACTGGTATCCTGGAAAATGCCACTCAAAAACAACATGCAACTTATGCATGCTCCAATGCATGATAAATTTTCGAAACTCGACGTCTAAGTAATGGTTCTAGTCATTCTTCCACTTTTTAGCTTCATACATCTCATTCCATGCCCGTATTATCTCGTCATTCTTAAACCCTAAGCCTGCAATTGACAAAAGATATGATCTTAAGGTTTATGCAGATGTTAGCTGATGATACAAAGTAATGAATTTCTAACTATATTTGTAACATCCGCAATACCGGGTTAGTGACCAAATTGTAAAGTTTCAGAATTTAGTGACTAAAGTATAAGAATGAAATAATTCAATGATTATTTGAATATATTATGAAGGTTATTTAGTAATTATTAAAGGAAATTAAGGGTTAAATGGTCATTTGACCAGAAAGATTTTTATATTTCTTTTTAAGGTAATATAAACGTGGGAAATTGAGAAACATCCAGAGTTCTCTTCTCCTTTCTTCTTCTTCATACGTGGGAGAGCAAGGCAAAGGTGAGAGTTTTATTAGTTGATTATTATTTGAATTTTAAGTTTGGTTTTGATTCTTTGGGTATTAAATAAGCTTAAGGAAAGCTTATATGTGATTTAAACAATAAGATAAAGGAATTATGAAGGAATATGCAATATGAGTTTTAAGATGAAATTTTGATATGATATGGTTGTTGAAGTTTTATGGATGAATTTGACTTGTCATCAATCTAATTAAGAAGTATGAAGTGTTAGAATTGGAATTAGAACACATCGAAAATTTGGTATGATTCTTGAATCTCATATGGAAGATAGGATTTTGAGGTTTAAGATGAAATAAATGAATATAGATTGGTTTAAGTATGTGTACTAGAGTTAAGAATGAAAAGGGGATGATATATGAAGTGTTTGAGAGGAAATGAAGTAATTTTCGGGTTGAAAATATGATTTCTGGGCAAGGGGAATCGGTACCCATTCAAGGGGAACCGATACCCCTTCAAACGAATAACATTTCCAGAAGGTCATTAGGGAATCGATACCCCCATAGTAGGGAACCGATTCCCCCTAAAGGAAATTGTGAATATTGGTTTAATTAGTTCGTTTAAGTTGCTAGTATCCAATTACAAGGTGTAGGTATCTAATGATTGCCTCAAAATGTATAATTATGTAGATTCAAGGCCTAAACGAGTTCCGGAATCATTGACAAGTAAGATCGATCAAGGGAAAGATAGGAGATTGGAATTGACTAGTGAGGCTAAGGTGAGTGCATATTCAATAGTATATGATGTGCGATGGGAATAAGACTTGCGATGAGTCTATTTCTTGAAGTGTTACACATGAATGCATGATTAAAGGCATGAGTTGAATATGCATGTATGTATGCTTGATTATATGGATTGATCTGTTCTTTTATGGGTTAGGTGATAAAGTATAAGTGATTACATAAGAAAGGTTATAATTATATGTGATTATCTGTATTACATTGATTGTATGTATGCATGACTAAAGATAATGACATGTTTTGTATATGCTATATGATGTATGTAAGACTTTAATATGTAATAATGGAAGAACATGAGATAAGTTATACGATAGAGTCATAAGAAATGAAATGAACATGAGAGAATAAGATAATCAAGTATAAGTTATATGATAGGGTATAAGTGATTATACGAGAAATGTTAGGAGACTCTAAGAGAATAGTATGAATTCGAAGGCATAAATAAGGATACATAAGTAATATAGGGAAGATTGATAGATTAAAGGAAACTATGGTATATGTATTATAGTGAAGAGCTACAAAGTTTTATTAAAGAGTATTTGGGAAGTCATGAGAAATGGAACTAAATAAATAGATGGTTTATGTGAGTGGAAAAGGAAAATGATATAAAATGAATGGAAATTATTTATAAGATAGCATGAGACTAATTGAACATGTAATATAAACTTTATAAAGGAGTAATTGGGTAAAATCATTATATGATACAATTATAGAGTATTACTATACAAATTATATTAAAATATGATATATGAGAATATGAGTAAGTTTATAGGATATTGATATGACATATAAGAATATTTAAATGTATGCTGATATGAAAAAGGGAATACAAAGAAATGGAGCATAAGGTAGATAATATGATATCAGTTATTATATATCTATATGATATATGTCATCAGGTAATATGAAAGGACTCTGAAAATTGATATAAGCTACGTGAAAGTGTTCTAGGTGTTTCTATATGTTATATGAAGTATATGATCTTATGTGAACAAGATATGATAAGTATGTTTACATGAATAAATGTGATTGGGTGAGAAATGATAGAAATTATATGATAACATGATATATGTGACATGTGAATTATATGGAAATGATCTACGTGTAAGTGAACTATGTGACTATGTGATAATATGAAAAGAAGCTATGTGATACGTGATATGTGAAAGTGAATTACAAGTTTATGTTAATATTTGAAATGAAATAAATGATAACGCCCATGTTATGTGTCATGAGAGCTAGGGGTATAGTTGGCATGCCAAGAGTCGAGGGTCTACGCGATCCTTCGGGACATATGTATATTCTTTGGAACATGTGTGAAGTCTTGAAAGACACATACTTGATCCCTAGTATATGTATATGATTCTTAAGGAATAATATGTGGTCCTTATGGACATTATTATATGGCACTACGGTGCAATTCTACGCGGTCCTTCGGGATATATATATATTCTGTGGAACATGTGTGAAGTCTTGAAAGACACATACTTGATCCCTAGTATATGTATATGATTCTTAAGGAATAATATGTGGTCCTTATGGACATTGTTATATGGCACTACGGTGTAATTCTACGCGGCACTTCGGTGCAATTATACGAGCTGTGGTGACAGCATTAGTGCACAACCTCTATAGACTCACATATCGATAGTTCTCACATATGTACATGGGCTAATCCAGAGATATGAATAAATATATGTTAGTGGTATGATAGATGTTATAGAAATGATATGATGTTGTGTGTATATAGTGTTTGATTGAAAAGGTTAACCATAAAAGTATGTGATTACATGATAAACTGTTAATGATGAATTATGTGTATGTATGTATTTACTGTAATTAATCTGATATGATTTTATATGATACGAATAATGCATGGAATTGGTATAACATGATAGAACAGAACATGCATGTATTGATATATGTTATAAAGTGCATTATAAATTGTTATGCCTCACTAAGTCTTCGACTTAGCGTGTGATTGTTTCACACGTAGGTTTCGAGAAGAGTAAAGAGTAATGCGGAGCAAGACATGTCAGTTTTCCTTACCAAATGTCAGATCAGAAAATATATGTACGGTTTATAGAGTGTAGTTGGCATGTAGTCTAAAGATATAAATGATATGAACTCTGATATATTTTGTAAACGTTTTGAATAATTTAAATGTTATCAAAGTTTTTAAATTACTCACTATTTTATACGAATAAATGTTTGAAAAGTCAATGTGACACTTCGGACTCGTATCCGGGTCGGATACGGGTTGGGGTGTTACAATATTACCTTCCGGTGCGATGTTATTCGAATAATGGTTCTTTACCATAACAGTTATATCTATTGGAGAAACTCCAGCACGCTCAAATTTCTCAATTGCAAGCTCCAAACATTCATGCCAGACAGGGAGCCCTAGTTTGAATTCCATGATTGAACGTTCATAAAGTATGGTACGCCATAACAGGTTTATCTGAGCACTCAAGTTGATTGCTTGCTCTGCAGCTTCATCTGTTGATATATCTTGGAATAAACCATCCGATCCCGTTTTCTTCAACTGATTTTGTTCTTTCTTCGAATCAGAAAGCTCACGCAGGCGCTGCCTTTCTAGCTCCTCGCACATCTGCATACCTCTCTCCATATTTTCCTCGGCATTGTTATAGAGGTGCAAGACCTTCTCAGAAGGCCATGTTTCCGGATCAACATTGTTTGCGATCGCGTAATGCCAATAAAGTTTTGCCTGCTCAAACTGTTGTTGCCCAAGAGCT